AGAACTATGTGGATTAAAATTATGCTGGTTATGTTTGGTAGATTTTAAGACAGAGTAGACATGGGAAGCACTGTTACTAAAGCAGCTAATATGCAAGTTAGTAATCAAAGCAGAATAGGTAGGCTGTTGTCCCAGACTTAGAACTACTTTTGCCCAAAAGACCTAGTTATTTCAATTATAGTCTTCTTTCTACAAATACTACACAAAATTTGATTAATAAATTCAGAAAATAACAGAAAAAACCCTTAGATCAAGGTATTATGTGACACTAAATGAAGGTTTCAGAAAATAATTTTATCCAAGGTAAGCTGTTTGTTGCTGTTCATATTCACAGTACCTGCATTATCAGTCCAGTGATTTACCATAATACTTGTGTTTTTTAGAAGGAAGAAAATGTCTGCAGGCTGATTCATCAGCTAAGAATGTCTTTTACAAATAAAAATTATTTCTATGTTTGGTACTGAACTGTCTATGAATCTGTATCAAAGTCTTGACTAACACATACGTTAACACAATGGTAAGATGGAACAGAGTTGAAGACTATCCACCCTCCAGAGGTCATTCAGTCTAAATTTCATACAGAGGATCATACAGGAATTCAAAATAGACCAGAGAGATTATTAGAAATCACTGAGAAGCAATTGGCCTCTTTAAAATATATCAGTGAATAAGAGTGCCTAATGGTACGCACTCAAAAAATAAAAATAAAATATTTAAAAAGAATCACTAAATCCTGATATGTTGAGATTTTTTTCGATTATTGAGGTGGACAGGCCCTGAGCAACCCAAGTGAGTTAAATCTGTCCCGGCATGTTGCAGGGGGTTTGGATTGCGTGACATTTTATAGGTCCCTTCCAACGCAATCTATTCTACGATTCCATGACAAGTACAAAAGAAGACCGGAGGGGTCTGTCTGAAAAAGGTGCCAACTGATGCAGTGAGAAGTGGCCTCATGACCAGCTGAGTGGGAGTAAGCCCGCATGTCTGCCAACAATGGTGACAGCAGTGCAGCTGTCAAGGGTCCTACACACAAGGGTGAGCACTTACAGGTGCCATGGGAGAACCAGTGGCAGGATGACCAGAAGGAGCATGGCAGCCTGAACGGATATAGCTGGGAAAGACTAGCTTGGCCTAGCTTAGGAAAAACAATGTTTCAGTATTTCAGATACAGAGATGCTGAGGAAAGGAAAGGCCGCAATAAAAATTTAACATTAAAAAAAAGCAAAACCAGCAACAACCCAAAAAACCCCAAAACAACAACGGAAAAAAAAAAAAAAAAAAAAAAAAAAAAAAAAAAAAAAAAAAACCAAAAAAAAAAAAAAACCAAAACACCAAAAAACAAACCACCAAAACACCAAGTCCCATACAAAAAAAAAAAAACCCACAATAAAACTTAAGAACAATCTGAAGGCAAAGACCAATCTAAATGCAAAGACAGAGAAAAACTGGGAGGAAAAGTATACCCAAATCAGGGCCCAGAGAATTAATCTAAGATCTGTTTCTGACTGATAAAACCAAAGAGATAAGATGCAAGCAGGAAAAGTGTTAAAATAACATCTTTAGGCCTGAGCCTACAACCTGTCTCACGAAGCTACAGTCTTGCCCCATTGATGCCAGAACCCAAGAGGCCAGTGTGAATCCACTTAAATGCAGGAGTTATATATACCCCAAGGGACAAGTATGTATACATGAAGTTATATATACACCAGGGACACCTTTCTCTGATGCTTAGTGACATGTCACTATAAACTTGGATAATTTAAGCTAGTCAACTGCCCTTTTCTTAAGAAAACCACTTACTTGAGATGAAAAAAGTATTGCTTTATTATTGAATTCAAAAGACAACTTGAAGCTAGTTCGTGGCACCAGTACACCCATTACGTGACTTTATAGGCTCTGAGACATAGCTGGTGATCAACAAACAGTGATCTCAAGCCCATGCAAGGGTCAATATGGAAGAATTTTGGGAAATTGCCCTCGTGAAAGTGAATTTTTAAAAAATAAAAGATGCAACAGGGAGGGTCAATAAATGTCACCACATGTTTTTAATTAGCTCAAGTTCCCTAGTAGACTCTCATGGCATGATATATGAGAAATTACTTTTTACAACTAAATCAATGAATGCTTTTTCAAAGACAAATTAAGATGCTCTTAGTGTGTCTCTTGACAGTATAGAAAATTGCCTAAAAAATAAATACTGTATATGTGTACTGATTTTACCTTATAATTCTTAGCACTAGTCCTGTGACTTTAATACTCTAACAATATCAGAATCCTCTGGACTACAGAATTCTAATCATGAGAAAAAAGAATTATGCCTGTCTGGAAGACCCTAGTTAGGATATAATTATAAGGTGAAATCACAAGTGCAAAGTAATTGAAATGCATGGTTGTGAGAGCTCAGTTATGACAACATAAAAAATCTTTCATTAAGCATTCACTGGTACAATGAATATTTTGTATCAGTGGAATTAATGTTATGCTGTCTGCAAGCAGTATATCTACTGTTTATAAGCCATATGTACATTAGTTTACTGATGAATTGCAGCTTATGATATACTTTTAGTAACAATGGGAAAGAAATATATTTTTGGTGAAATTATTGCTAAAGCAGTCACGTGTTGCAATGCCCTCAATACACACTGGAAAGAAATTGCTTATCTCTGTTCTTTCCTGCTTTTGTATGTTAATCTTTTAGTACACAATTATTTGTTTGTTAATACCACAACAGAGAGGCTAGTTTTATATTATTGCAATAGGAAGATATATTATGATTTCTATATTTTAGGCATGAAAATATATTACTTGCACAGCTGAGTTTTCCAGAGCTGTTACCTTAATTTTGTCAACAAGCATCATTTATACACACAAACACATACACACACACACACACACACACATACTTGTAACTATGATGTATTTAACAGCTTCTGTACTGAATTTAGTTAAACATTTACAGACTTATTCCAGTACCTCTCAAGACAGCATCGTAAGAACTCTAGTTACAGGGAAATCCTCAACCTTCTTGACATCGGTCAGACCCCAACAGGTGGATGTGAATACTCATGGCCTCTACTACTGTGGGGACAATATTCCTCACTCCCAATTCCAAACACCTCCATAATATTTAATGCAGTTGTTTAGAAATAATACTATTTGTAGAAAATACAATGCATTTTGAATTAATTGGAGATTTGGGGGTTAACCTGATATTTTATTGACCTGGATAACAAAGACAACTTTGACTCTTTCATTTGTTGAGCAGGGTGTATGTGGTAAAACAAGCAGGTTTATCAGTAATTAAAAAATGGGGGTGAGAAAAATTTTTTTTCTAGCAATATAAAAAATATAAAAATTACAAAAATTATAAAATTTGAGGTGTAGATTCTAAAGATATTGTTATCTGCCAAGGACTAGATGAAAAAATCATGTTAAAAAAGCAAATTGGGCATTCACTACTTTTCTAAGATGCATTGCATATTTATTATCTGCACTGACTCATTGACATTTATCTAGTAGTACAGGTTTGCATTGTTTTTGTTTCTAATCCTTCTTCAAGAAGTAGACTCGTAAGCTCACAGGTCCAAGCATGACACATACAATGTTGGCATTTAGTGTAAACAAGCAAAACAAAACAGATTATATGCATTCGGCCTCTTTAACCATTAAAATTGTAATAATTTATTTCCCTCCATTTTAAGTTTAATCACTGCACTATAGGCAAAGTTGTTCTAATAACAAATGATCAAATAGTAAAGAATAATGCAAAGGACACAGTCATCTGAGAACTCCTCACCTGTTTCCACTTTTGCTCCTGCCACCTGGAGGGATGTTTAAAGGTGTAGATGTGGGAGACTGCAGTGCACAGTATTGAAACTCACAGAGCCAAACTGCTGCTATCAATATGTCAGGAAACTGAGCAAAGCTAAAATGAGATCTGTTGCAACATAAACACGTGCTGCAAAGATGGAGGGTACAAGCAGAACTTCTGCTTGTAGAAAACACCTTTTTGTAGAAAACAAAGGCTTTTAAATGCCTTGTAAGTCCGCCTTTTCTCCAGTCTTCAGGCCCAAGTCACTTATCTACACATATACATTTCATTTCCTGCTCTGTCCCAATTGCCCAGGCTCCTACCTCCCCTCTTCCTTGGGGAACCATTTCTACAACTTTTCTCCACAGCCCTGTCCCATGAGAGTCTTGTTTTACGTTCTGTGCCCAGGTATGTCTGGGGAAGACAGCATGGACCTGATTGCAGCGCTGCTGCTCTCACCAAGCCACACAAAGCTGGCTCAGACTGCCTGTTTTCCACACCACAGGAGGGAGCAGGCATGGGAATGAGACACAGCCTATCCCCATCAGCAGAATGGACACAAAAAGCACACCTCAAGTTCTTGTTCATCCTTCATCTTAGGTTTACCCTGATCCTAAGTAAAGAGTATTCTCTTTGAATGGCTAGAGAACAGTCATTGGCATAAAAGGACTGAAAATAAAAAGAGTGAAAGGCTGTAATAGATAGCCTTTTCACTGGATTTTAAAAAATTTTCTAGATTTAATTCACCTCACCATTTCAAATGTTCGTATGTGAAAATGTTGCCGTACAGTTGTATCATCTGCTCTTTATTATACCTATATAATTTCAACAGGACTCCAATTCTCCATCTGTGGGCTGGTTTTGTGGTTTTGCTTTTTTTTAGATTAGTTCATTTGGACATCTACACTGGTATATGAGAACAAAATCTGCCCCTCTCCTTATTAAGTTTTACAATGCAGTCTTTCTCTTTAGTGATTTATTTACGAACTAAGAAAACAATAATCTAAAAATAAAGCTACAATATTAGTTAAATTCTGAATAAATACAATTAATTTTAATTTAAATAATTGCATTTATATTCAAGACAAACTTCTTTTTATAAAAGCTTCTCTGTTGACAAATACATATTTAGTCTTACTGTAAGCAAATCTTTTAGTAGCAAAAAAGATAGAATAAACACTTTACTTACCAAGCCATCCTGATCCAGAATTGGGTATACACATATCTGTTTCAGCACTGGGCAACACAAATCCAACCACAAACACTTCAACCCCATCAGCCATTAGGGCCATTCCCAGCACAAAGAAGAGGGCCCACTGGAAACGACCATGGCCACATTCTTGTATTATCAATTCATATTGCTGTGCCAACTCTTCTTCATCAGCTTTCCTCTCTGTTTCCAGTTCATGACGATCCTTGTATTCATCACGCATAGACTGACCTAAGGCCACCATGTCATCCTTACCCTGCCCCATGTTGGGGATTCCCTGATACTCCCCTTCATAAATTTCATCATCTTCATCATGTCCTTCAGTTGCTTCACTCGATCCTTCATCATCATTAGCTTCCACACCATAATTTCCTCCTTGGCCATAGTAATCATCATCATCTTCCTCATCCTGGAATCGACTGTAGGATCTCTGTGTGTAGCCATCTTGGGCTTTGTCAACTGCTTTATTCACTTTTTTCACTGCTTGCCTCTTCACCTCTTTAGCAATATCTTTGGCCCCTTTCACTAATGAAGTCCTGTCTTTGTAGGTGTCCTCCATCCTGTATCAAAGAAGGACTGCTGTTAGGCTGCAAAGGCACCTCCCAAATATTGCTTGGAGTGTCTATTGCGTGTTGGACATCAGTGGAAAAAGCCCAGGTATGAGTGAAGCTGTAATATTCAACCTGCAAAGTACAAGAGAAAAAAAGCTCATACTTCACTATTTTTAGACGCCTCTTCACACTGATCATCCCAATCTTTATTTAAGCACTGGACATCAGAATACAGGGCTTCAAATATAAAAACCTGCATTTTCTTCAGAGATACAAATACCACAGGTTACAAAAAAATTATACTAAAGATAAATTTAATGTATCTATCAGAGAATCTTCAGAATTCAATTTTTACTCTCTAGTCAGAGATGTCAGGTTTTATTCTGAAAGAAACCAAGAAATTCCATGCATCATACATCATATTGACTCAGTCTGCAATATCCTTTCCCATTTGAACTCCCTGTTTTATAGGAAAGGGCTACAAACACTAACCTTTCTCTCAGTGAGTTACCATGAAATATCTCTCTAGCCTTCTATTTAACACAAATCCTGTAGAAAGTTAGTATTCCTCCAATCTGTACCAGTGTCTCAAAGCTGACTGAATTTGGCCAGTGCATTCACAGGGCAATCACACCGAGTCTTAGCAATATGAAATCCCATCCTAAAAAATACAGTGTGGGGAGTTGTGTGGGCATAAGTGATGGCACTTTCACACTGTGGAGATTCCCAATACCTAAGTCATGGACAGACACATTCCTTTCTTCACTAGCTATACTCACAGTAGGGGCAGAGTGAAGTAACTGTGTATTATGAGCTAATGCATCTCCCAGTGTGTTAGTCCAGCATGAGTTCCCACTAACCAAGCTGCATGAAAGCACCAAGACATTTTGCCCCAGTTCTCCTCCCTGCTCCCCTGCTCTATCTTTCCATCTTGTGCAGCCGCAAATGCAGACACAACAAGTCAAGAGCAGTTTGCTTATTAGACGGAAGACTAACCATTCCCTTCTTCTCCATGCAGTTTTCAAGCATATCTACAAGACAATTTGCTGACCACACATCTGCACTATCTCTAGGGGCAGGAGAAAGAAATGACAGCAGCATGCAAGCATACAGAAGGAAGAAACGCAGGATCGTATTTTGGCAACAGCATTTTTTGGCAACAGTCTGTAGTTAAAACAGCTAAAATCAATTACAAAATTGCACCATTACTCATGTGTCAAAAGTTAAGGGAGTGTGTGTGTGTGTGTGTGTGGACACTGCAACAGATTGTAAAAGTCTCCCCTCTGGGAGAGAGCAGGCTACAGTTTTTTAGCAGTGCTTCTAAGAAAACACTGCCTGCTTCCAGCTTGGGGAAAAGGTTATTTTTAACCATGATCATTTTAATGATCTGTTTTCCAGCATTACCTCAGAAAAACTGCAGTAATGCAACTAAGGAGGCAGTGAGATATGATGTAGGAGTAAAAATAGATGGAAATTTCTGAAGCTAATCTTATTACCCTTTCTAAAGCAGTGTGAACTGCCCTCAGAGCCTTATGGGAGAAGACAAAGGAATGGCTTTCAGAAGTTGTCCTTTATTTATTCTATTGCATATACTGTCTGCGGAAGTATACTCCAGACATGAGTTTTAGGACTGATAGTGTTTTGAGGGATAGAAAAAAACTACAGACTGCATTAGATAAATTAAGGATGTGATGTACTTCTGATACAAGAAAACAAAGCCTACAATCACATAGACATGACTTTAGAAGCTAAAAGATATTTCCCTAGTTTTTTAATAATAGAAATTCACCTGTAGTAAAAAAAAAATCTTTATTTTTAGTACCTTCCTCTGGATTAATTTCATACACTTTGACTGTTTCTGAAAGAAATCAGATGTGATGGCACTATTCAACTATTAATGGGAACTGAAGCATTTACTGGAAGAGAAATGCAGCCTTAAAAAAGCCCTGATGTAATATTTATGTCTGCAAACTGTAGCCTGACTTTAGATACATGATGATCCTTTTAAGTAGGTCATCCTGGTGAATCTTATATGCCAAGGCAGTTTCTCTAATTACAGCTTTTCAGTTTTCAAGGTGCTCAGTAGAAGTTATCTTTCTAGCTAGGAGTATCTACTAGCTGTTAGTGCACATGGAATGCATCAAAACATTCACTGGATCTGCTGAAGCCTTCTACAAATACTTTCAAGAGCTCCATGAAATCCTAACAGGTACTTTTCTGAGTGTTAATGAATACAGTGTGTTCCTAGATTTCAGATTATTTTACAGTGTCCACAAAAAACCATTTAACCTAAACTCTGACTTCCTCTAATTCTTAGAATGATATTTGTTTCTTTTTGTTTGTCCAGTAAGGGTTTTCAGTTGTCAAATTCCCTATTACTACAGGGCGCATATGTGTGTGTATGTATATATATATATATATATATATATATGTGTATGTATCTTAAAGAAAGCAAGACTTTAGGAATACCAAATGAACAAAGAGTCTAAGAAGCAACACTGGTAAAACCATGCTTTACTCTTCTGTAGTACACCTATCCCATTAGTTCAACAGACTCAAAAAAGTAAAATTGCAAAGTAACTGAACTTATGCTGCAGTTTGTGATAAACCAGGAACATCAACAAGGAATTTTACCTCTCATACTCACTAAAAGCATAACCCTGTCATCAAAAACATGCAGACAGACAGAGCAAGATTTCTGTCTGGGCAGAAATCAGAAATGTCTCCCTATTTTGCTGAAGTTTCCAAGCAAAATCTTGAATTTTGCTTGGAAAATCTGAACACTGTTTTTTAAAACAGCTTGACTTTCTCAATGAATTGAAATCTGTGCCTTAAGGTGATAAGTACAAAGAAGCATAATTTACAGCCCATGCATGATAGCTTCCCACCCTTTCAATTATGTTGGACTGATTACTACAAGTAAGTAACTGGAAAGTCTGAAAGAGTAAGGATTAATGACTACCTGAGTAGCATAAAGCAGCAAAAGCAGAGATGATAGTCTAGCTGTACACTCTTCTTTGTACCAACCAATATGTTCGCTTTCACTAAAGAAAAAAAAATAAAAAAAGAAAAAAATTCCCAGGAAACTTGTGTTTCCACCAGAAGCAGAAATACTCCTTCAGGAAACATCTACAAAAAAACATTTTGTAAAAACACTCAAAGATGCATACACAAAATCAAAATCAAAGTATTCTTTTGCTCTAATATTTATTCTTTTCCACCATGTTACATTCACAGATTTCAGTATATTTAGCATTGTGTATATATTGTGCTACATCTGAAATAAAGATTGAACATTACAAACTAAATCAGTGAGATCCCATAAAGTTATAAATCTATGACAAGTCAGAAAACTCTCTCCCACAAAGACTTAGATTTTTGATTAACATAAGCTGTGAGAAGACTCGCTGGGTACTCCAAAAAGTGGTATTAACTATATGTATATAAGATAATAAAGTCTTCAGAACAGATCTGGAAGTCACACTCAAATATGCATCTTATAGATCATAACTACCTCCAATTTTACTACCTTGTCAAATTATTTTATATCCCAGGTTAAATAAAGGCACCTGAACTATGTTAATTCACAAACAGAAGATGATATTTTCTTGCAAGTGTTCTCAGTAATTAAAAAAATATAACAACCCACGCTTGAATTCACCAGGATATCTGCAAAATTCCTCCTCATCTCTTCACGTGCAAAGCCTTCTGTTTACTTTTCCAGGGTAGTATTTACTTCAGTATGACCTAATAAATAACAGATTTCTCAATAAAGGGTATTTATTTATAGAGGTATTAAGTTATTTAAAATAAATAAGAGCTGGCATCAAAGCTGGTGTGAAGCAGATTCGTTTTGGATAATGCTAGCAGATTAAAAACTAAGTTTCTGTATTTTAAGCAAATTTTCTTTCTCTCATGTTGAGAGTCACATCCCCAGGCTGCACTCTTCTAGCTCAAGCTGCAGTAGACAGAACCGTGTGTAATACTGCAAGGCTGCAGTGCCATCACCACTGTCTGTCCCCAGCACTCTCCCTGCTGGGATGGTATTTTCACCACTGGTCCTGTACCAGCACTTGTCACTCTCTGCAGACACAACACACATATGCAAGATGAGCATAGGAATTCATTTATCTAGTAGCCATCAGTGATGCTGAGCTCAGCAGAAACAGGGTCTTCATGGTACATTGCAATTTCTTTTTTCCCATTTTATTAGTTTCCTTCCTCATTAAACCAGCAGAGATAACTGTTTCCACACTATATGCTCTACCTGCCCAGCTCCTCTTAAACTATCTAACTAATTAGAACAAAACTATTAAACTATTTAACTAATTGGAACAAAACAAGTGGAATTGCTTTTAGCTTGTTTTTACTTGAAATTTCATAACCTTTTTCAGAAAAAAGGCCACATTTGCCTGAAAGCAAAATGTATGAGGACATCTGCCTTTAACAGAAAATATTACCTTTAACCGCCCCTTAGAGCCTTAACGTATCACCAAAACCAAATGACTCTAATAATTCTTTCCTTATAGTGCTTTTGATCACAGGCCTAATTCTTCCCCAATTACTTCTGGATATACAAGCAATGAAACCATGATCTGCAAAAGCTCTCCTTTAAGCAGTGCAAACCAGAAATCTAACAGTATGATGAAATCAGACCACGTAAGACAATGAAATCATAAACCTAATACAAACGCTATAAACTCGGTCCAGCGAAAATTGGGAAATCTTAACTGAATAATCTCTGATAAAAATTCAATAATATTGTAAAAACAAATTTTCCAAGAAGGGCAGAGTGGAAAATTATAGGTACAAAGTTAGGAGATGGGACATTCTTCACTTTATACTTCCACTATATTAGTCTTCCATGCTTTACTTCTATGCTCTAAATAACTTTCAAAGAACATCCTGAAGAAGGGTGATACAATGCTTGTAAGTTTTATAAGCACAACCATCCTGACGCTGACACAGTCATGTCTAATTCAGCTCACTCTTATCAGTGTTCTAAACC